AAAGCTCAGGTCCATCGGCTCAGTCAGGATGAAAATATTTCACAATGGATTCAAATGTGGAGTGTGATGGGTCACTGTGTATTCGGACGCTTCAATGTCAGATAGAAGGGGGTGGAGGCGAGTAACAAAATATGTCAGAAGTGTCTAATTTCGCAAAACTGTTTATTTCAAGAGGATTCTGCTATCTGCTGATCATGCTATACTGAAAATTATAATATTCTACACTTGTTGACTCAGATGAGGGCAGAATTTGAGAATTATGTTTTCCTTTGTTCAAGTTCAAGTACAGTTTTATTTCTAGAGCACATTTAAGCACGAAACAAGGCCGACCAAAGTACTGCACAACATACAATAATATATAACAAGGAGAAAATCAGTAAAACAAATAAAAACAATTCAAAATCCATACAACAACAAAAGCAGATTAAATCAATTCAAAGGCGCCGCACATTACTACATGTTAAAAGCCAGAGAGAAAAGATGTGTTTTAAGATATGACTTGAGGATATCTTGATACTGAGGATATTTTCAAGAGAAGCATGGTGTTAATTGTTAGAAGCAGATACACAATTGACCACAGCTGGCCAAACTGTTTTTGTGCTTCAACTGTGACCAGAAAATGTGCAAACTATGGTTTGAGTTATCATAAAACAACACAGTAAATGGTGATAGTCAAGCAGTCATATGTGAAGTGTTAAAAGCATGGTGCTTTTTGGAGTAGGTGGTTAATTTTTGACATTATGGGAAAAGGAAACCTGTTCTATTTATATGGCCTTGGTGGTCACAATCAAAACCAGAATACATACGTCTACACTGAACAAACACAATAAGATAAAACAGTTCTAAATATGCAGATGTGATTTCATCAAATGCATTACAATGGAACTCGTACCATTCTAAAATTACCAATATAGTTAGGAATAAATGGGTGCATTGCATCAAACCCATCAAGAACACAAACTGGTCATATTCCACCCCAAAAGCTTTATGGTTTAAAAAACTAAGCACATTTTCTCATCA